TAAAAATTTGGTACAAGAAGATTTTAGAGATTAAAGATATGGACAAATTAACTTTTTTATGAAAAAAAAACCTCAGGAAATCCAGTAAGAGAGACGGATTGGTCTCTCTTTGAAAAATTTATGGAAGAAAAGAAGAAAAATGTTTGAAGATGAAGACAAAACTTTAAATAAAGGATGCAGCGAAGTCCCAAAATGGAAGTCAACATTGTATATATAGTTTGTGGGTGTGTTTGTTCGTTTGTTTGGGGGTTGTTTTTTTTCCTCTTTTCTTTCTCTCCATTCTTTTTTCCTTACTTTTCTCCACTTTACATTGTTCTCACTCTTTCCATGTAAAGTATATAGATGTTTGAAAATGCTAATAAAATTTTATCAAAAAAATATAGCAATGGCTTTACTCACAATTTTTCCCTCTACGTACTTTTGTGAGACCTTATTCTCAGCGTTAAGTAATATCAAAACCAACAAAAGAAACCGACTGACAGATGAAGTTAGTAGTGCTTGGTTGGGGTTGAAGTGTACAAAATATCAACCTTCAAATGAAGGTTTAGCCAATGAAATTCAGCAACAAAAAAGTCACTAATAGACAGGTTAGTTGAAGAATTCCCCCTCCCCCCTGTTATCTTAGTTCACGGCACCCCACACAAGTTACATATCAAGACCAACAAAAGAAACCGACTAATGGCTGAACAAAGAAGTCACTGAGCAGGTAAGTTATATAATTAGGTTTTGGTTTATTAAATATAGTTATATATTACAATTATATATTTTTGTTATTTAAATATTGCGAAATTATGGGGTTTTTTTCTTGAAGTGACACCACCTGAATCATGTTTGACTTTTTGGCTAATTTTGACACACCATGCTTAGAAGGTTGCCTGTCACTGGTCTAAGCATTGACTAAACTTGGAAGAAAAGAAGGAAGATTTATTCTTCCAGATCCAAGCAAGGGGAATTGGAATCAGCCAGACTCGGCAGTGCTACATACTTTTGAGCAGCCTGAGCAAGGGCTGGGACTTTTTAATCCAGTTTCCAAAATCTAAGAGTACAAGGATTTGGATTTATTGTGTGGGAGAATTTTAGATGAGAATGATCAAAGAAATGTTGAGGCAGCAGCATGAGACACATGGCAGGAAGGTAGTCCTGATGGAATCGGGGGTACAGGCTGAAGATGATGAGCACATGGAGATGGATTGCCAAGTAGCATTTGGAAAGGTTGAAGGAGGGGTGCTTTCACTGGCAGATCAAAAGACAAGCTGGCAAAATGGCACTACCTAGAAAAATCCTGCACCTTATGCAACTGTGGAGAACAAATCAGCATCTGTATGTTTGCCCACAATGCCCTGCCTCATGCAGAGGAAGAACTATTTGAAGCTACACGTGGTCTCTGTTGCCCGTTTTTGGCCTAAAGTTATTTAGCCACTTCTGCTCCTTCCATTTTACCAGTTTTATACTTGTCTATTAGTGCAATGTTTTTGACACAATACAAGTCTTTGTTGTGTGTACTTAATATATGCTCATTAATACTGTATTTTATTTAAACCCTGTTGCACCCTGTCATGACTTATACCTTTGTAGGCTGAAGCCGAAGCCTAGAAGTCAATAAGCTGGCCTCCATGTTAGGAAGGTAGTACAGTGAGCAGACATCTTAGGAGAGGCAGATCAGCAGAGGGGAGGAGTTCAGCTATCCCAGGATTGGCTAGGACAGGTGGGAGGAGCTGGAGCTATGAGTGTAAAAAGGCAGGCAGCTTCTGACAGAGAAGAAGATTGGATTGTGATCTGAAGGGAAGCGGGTGGATTTCTAGTGAGCTCAAGTTTTCCTGTGAGAATGTTTGGAGGCAGGTGTGTCTATAGGGATCGACCTGGAGGGTCAAGATAGCCACCTGTGGACTTGTGTGAGCGTTAGAACACAAGTTAATTTTACTCTCTAGGGGACAGGGTATCTTAGCTATTAGGGATCTCTGAAGAGGGAAGCTAGATACTCTGGGGACAGCCAGGATTGGTGTGTCAGAGGGACTCACTGCTACTAGGTATAGAGTAGAGTGAGGGAACTTGCTCGCGTTAAAGAAAAGAAACCCAGTTAAGGAAACCATCAAGCTTGTTAAGATCAAGAAACCATTTAAGAAGGTTGTGCTTTGTTAACCAAATACGCTTGTGTACCTCATAGAAGAAGTTAGTTGTGTGTTCAAGTATACAAATAAACTTTGTTCTAGTTCAACCTTCAAAGCAGCCTCAGCATTGAATCATTCCATAGAATCTGTTCCAGTAATTTTTAACATCTTTTTACTTCAGACATTTTAAAGGGAGTTAAAGGAGAGGGCTGGTGAACAACAGGGTTTACCTCAGGCATAACATCAAGATAATTTCTCAAATCCATTTGAGTGGTGGCAGCAACTATAACAATACACATTCACGTTTCCTCAACACACATCAAAGCGCTTTGGGTCAGGATTGTGTTGGTGTCCAGTTGGAGCCGTAGTAAGAAAAAATCATCTACACTGATTCTTCAAAGTGGTAGCCAGCTGTGTGCTATAGAGCAGCTGAAGGAACGGGTGGGTGTGTATTAGGGGATTTATTAGTGAAGTATTAATCCCTTGGGGCCTGACTATATTATACACCCCTTCCTCAAAAAGCAGGTAATAAATTATTAGATTAACAACTTCAGTACTAATTCCATTTTGTAACACTATCTGTATTTGTCTTTCAGTGAGCTTTTGGGGTGCATTTCAGAAAGCCCATTCATCATTGCATTTTTCCTTCACTGAGTAAAGGCACTTGAATGCCCAAGCTCCATAAAGATATCTCTGGCAATAGCCATAAAAGGTACAATGTCCTCCACTTTATTTTGAGGAGTTTAAGACTTCAAATTAGAGTTTCTCAACCTTCCTCATGCCACAACTCCTTAATACAGTTTCTCTGTTGTCATTTGAGAGTTGTAGTTGCTGGGATTTATAGTTCGCCTACAATCAAAGAGAATTCTGATCCCCACAAACTATAGAATTAGGTCAAAAAGCCCCTTCATCGTTGCATTTTTCCTTCATGGAGAAAGGGGACTTGAATGCCCAAGCTCCATAAAGATATCTCTGGCAATAGCCACAAAAGGTACAATGTACTCTGCTTTATTTTGAGTGTAAGTGTTGCTCAACCTTCCTAATGCCACAACTTCTTAATACAGTTCCTCTGTTGTCCTTTGGGAGTTGTAGTTGCTGGGACTTATAGTTCACCTACAATCAAAGAGAAGTCTGATCCCCACAAACTATAGAATTGGGTCAAAAAGCCTTTTCATCATTGCATTTTTCCTTCATGGAGAAAGGGGACTTGAATGCCCAAACTCCATAAAGATATCTCTGGCAATAGCCATGAAAAGCACAATGCCTTCCCACTTTATTTTGAGAGGTTTAAGGCTTTAAATCAGTGTTTCTCCACCTTCCTAATGCCACAACCCCATAAAAGTTCCTCACAGTGTCATTTGGGAGTTGTAGTTGCTGGGATTTATAGTTCACCTACAATCAGAGAGAAGTCTAATCCCCACAAACTATAGAATTTGGTCAAAAAGCTCCTTCATCGTTGCATTTTTCCTTCATGGAAAAAAGGGACTTGAATGCCCAAGCTCCATAAAGATATCTGGCAATAGCCATGAAAAGCACAAGGCATTCCCACTTTGAGGGGTTTAAGGCTTTAAACCAGTGTTTCTCAACCTTCCTAATGCCACAGCTCCTTAATACAGTTCCTTTATTGTCATTTGGAAATTGTAGTTGCTGGGACTTATAGTTCACCTACAATCAAAGAGAAGTCTGAACCCTACCAACTATAGAATTGGATCAAAAAGCCTGTTCATAATTGCATTTTCCTTCATGGAGAAAAGGGACTTGAATGCCCAAGCTCCATAAAGATTTCTGGCAATAGCCACAAAAGGTACAAGGCCCTCCAATTTATTTTGAGTTTAAGGCTTTAAACCAGTTTCTCCACCTTCCAAATGCCACAACTCCTTAATACAGTTCCTCGTGTTGTCATTTGAGAGTTGTAGTTGCTGGGAATTCTAAACCCCACAAACTATAGAATTGGGTCAAATAGCCCGTCCATCATTGCATTTTTCCTTCATGGAGAAAAGGGACTTGAATGCCCAAGCTCCATAAAGATATCTGGCAATAGCCATGAAAAGCACAAGGCCTTCCCACTTTATTTTGAGTTTAAGGCTTTAAATCAGTGTTCCTAATGCCACAGCTCCTTAATACAGTTCCTCTGTTGTCATTTGGGAGTTGTAGTTGCTGGGATTTCTAGTTCACCTACAATCAAAGAGAAGTCTGATCCCCACAAACTATAGAATTTGGTCAAAGAGCTCCTTCATCGTTGCATTTTTCCTTCATGGAGAAGAGACTTGAATGCACAAGCTCCATAAAGATCTCTAGCAATAGCCATGAAAGGTACAATGTCCTCCACTTTATTTTGAGTTTAAGGCTTTAAATCAGTGTTCCTAATGCCACAGCTCCTTAATACAGTTCCTCTGTTGTCATTTGGGAGTTGTAGTTGCTGGGATTTATAGTTCACCTACTATCAATAAGCATTCTGAACCCCAACTATATAATTGGGTCAAACTTCCCTCACAAAACCACCATGACCTACAGGAAATACTGTGTTCCCTGATGGTCTTTGTCAGAAGGGCGACCATTCTGACACCCCAATAACCCTCAAGTTGAGAAACCAGCTTTGAATATAGGCCGCAAGTCCTTATATCCAACTCAAAATATCTAATTGCTGGCTTGGCTTGCTTTCCAACTTCCCACCCACGCTCCCCACAACGCAGAACCAATTATTTAAAACCCTTTCTCGTCTACCCACTCAGAAACAATGTCTAATCTGGCTATTTCTCTTTCCCTTCCCCGACCTCCACTCCCTCCCAAGCCAACTGCGCAATGAAAAACGCGGGCGCTGAACGCGCAGGCTTTATAGAGCTGGCCTGCCGCACGCATGCGCAGTGGGCGCCCTCGCGGCCCCGCCCCTTTCCCCATCTGTGGCTCTCGCCGCTGCAGCGAGGACTGAGGCTTCCTTGTGTTTGTGCCGGAAGCCTTGGCCACGCCCCCTCTTTCCCAGGCCGTAGGCTCTTCTACGCCAGTCTCGCGCCGTTGACTTGCCTGCTGGATCTGTTCAAAGTGAGAGAGCTTCAGTAGACCGGGCTTTTGCAAAAAAGCTTTCCTGCAGAGAATCTTTCCGGGTGGGTGCAGGGTATTTGCATGCAAAAAGGGGGCGGTGGGGTTTTGTGCAATCTTCCATCTCTCTCTCTCTTTGCTGTGTTTGTTTGTGGATCAACTCCAGGGCTTTGAATGGCTGCACTTTATTAGAGCAAATGTCTGCAACATGGTGGTATCCTCCAAAAGTTTTGCTCAGAAAGCAGGGAGTGCAGCTCCCATCATCCCTGGCCAGCCTGGCACTGGGATGGTTGGAGACGAGGAAAGGCTGTCATTGTAGAATTCATGCATTCTGATCCCACTTTGACATCCAAGGTTCACTGCTATGGAATCGTTGGGAGTTGCAGTTTGGTGAGCACTCTTGGAGCATTCTTTGGCAGGAAATGCAACTCTCAGGATTCCATAGCATTGAACCACAGTGGTGTCAAACTGGATTAATTATACAGTGTAAATGCACCCTGAAAATTTTTGAAGATGTTTTCTCTCCTTCTCCATCCTGTAGATCAGGCATGGGCAAACCTCAGCCTTCCAGGTGTTTTGGACTTCAATTCCCACAATTCTTAACAGCCAGGAATTATGGGAGTTGGAAGTCCAAAAACATCTGGAGGGCTGAGGTTTATCCATGCCTTCTGTAGATTTGGGGGAGGGGTGAGAAAGGTGATATATAGACTGAGTATCTCTTAATGGTGCTCCATGCAGTCATGCTGGGCATATGACCTTGGAGTTGTCTACGGACAACGCCGGCTCTTGGACTTAAGAGTTTCTTCTCCACAAACAATCTGCTCCATCCCTATCTCATCCTGATTTTAGTATTTTTAGTATCTTAGTTTCTATCTTGCACATGCGGCCCGCTCCCACTCATTGTTATGTTATTTTATTTTACTGTGTATGATTTTGCTTTATTGTCTTTGCGTGCATATGTTGTATGTATTTTACTGTGTTGTTATTGTGTTTTGGTTTTACTTTACAGTAATATGCTGTTGGATGTTAACCGGCGCTCCTTACAGAGAGAGTTCAACCCTCCTGTTTAAGGAGCTCCATTGGCTGCCGTTTACCTACCGAGCCCAATTCAAGGTGCAGGTGCTTACCTACAAAGCCCTAAACGATTTGGGACCTGCCTACCTGCGTGACCGCATCTCCGTATATGAACCCACCCGCTCCCTCCGTTCATCCGGAGAGGCCCTGCTCACGATTCCACCTGCATCACAAGCGCGGTTGGTGGGGACGAGGGACAGGGCCTTCTCTGTGGTAGCCCCCCGACTCTGTAACGCCCTCCCCAAGGACATCAGACAGGTTCCTACGTTGACAGTCTTTAGGAAGAACTTGAAGACTTGGCTATTCCGGTGTGCCTTTCCAGAATAGGAAACTCCAGCAATACGTCCCAGAAGCACTTTACTAGAGACCTAAGATTGTCAGCACGTTGCACTTACCCAAAAATCCTTATATTTCAACTGTCATACCCAGCACTTTTAATCTGTACCCATTTACACTTGGCCCGGCCTTAGTTTTATTGTGCTATGGTGTACTGTTTTTACTGTTTACTGTTATTGCTTTAATTATTTTGATTTGCTTTATGGTTTATGTGTATTGTTGTACTGTTGTTTTATTGAGGCCTTGGCCTTTGTAAACCGCATCGAGTCCTCCGGGAGATGTTAGCGGGGTACAAATAAAGTTAATAATAATAATAACAATAATAATAATAATAATGTTGGGCTTGGCATCATGTAAGCAGCCCAAGTCCCCATTGGGGGGATGGTGGCAGGGTATTAAATAAAGATTATTATTATTGTTGTTGTTATTATTATTATTATTATTATTATTATTATTATTATTATTATTAGAAATGGAGATGGGCACCACACCCCAGAGTCGGACACAACTGGACTTCATGTCAGGGAAAAACCTTTACCTTTACTATCTCTTAACCAAAATGTCTAGGACCAAAAGTGTTTTGAATTCCAGATTTTGGAATACCTATGTTTGCCTGTATATATAATGAGATATCTTGGGGAGGGAAAGCAAGTTTAAATATGAAATTCATTTATTTTTCCACATTCATCTTCTATACATAGCTTGAAGGTAGCTTTGTGCAATATTTTGAATAATTTGTGTCTGAAACAAAGTTTGTGGACAATGAATATCAGTAAGCAAAGGGGTCACTAAAATTAAAGGCAAGAATCAAGCAATTTATGGCTTTGCTTACTAGATCAAAGGGGTATTTTGGCAACACTGTGTGCTTTGAAGTGTTCCCTGTCCTTTATCTTGCCCAGCAAGTTATTTGCTGAGTGAAGTCTACTCTATAACAGTGTATTCCTTCACAAGATGGTTAGTCCATATGATTCCACTGTTCTCACAACCTCTGAGGATGCTTTCCATAGATGCAGGCGAAACGTCAGGAGAGAATGCTTTTAGAACATGGCCATATAGCCCGAAAAACCTACAACTCAGTGATTCCAGCCATGAAAGCCTTTGATTATTTTAGGTGAGATCTGCCTCACTTACATGCATGTTCCCACAGCAGCATAAATTAATCCATCGGCATCACAATGTAACGAATGTACTTTTTCTAAGTCTCCTTCCACTCAGCTGAATAAAATCCCACATTATCAGCTTTGAACTGGAATATATGGCAGTATGGATTCAGATAACCCAGTGCAGAGCAGATATTGTGGGATTTTCTGCCTTGATATTCTGAGCTATATTGCTGTGTGGAAGGGTCCTTAGCCTCATTTGATGCCATGTCATTTGCCTCTGCTTGAAAACCGATTGGCTGACTTTAATGTGATTTTTGGCCAGGAGAATTGAAGATCATTTGTACTATTGTTCCTTTCCGTAACTGTTATGAATATCCAGTACTTTTCCTGTGCTGAGTCCGGGTATTTTGTCAGATGCCTTGGAATGGTTTCCTGTCCAACAACTTTGGGAAGAAATCTAATCTTGCAGAATGCCTTTGTGCTAATGTATTGTCGAAGACTTTCATGGCTGGAATCACTAGGTTCTTGTGGATTTTTTTGGGCTATAGGGCCATGTTCTAGAGGCATTTCTCCTGACGTTTCGCCTTTGTGCTGCTTCTGGAGAATTATGGTCAGTAGTTGCAGAGTGATTCATGTGAAGTATTGCTTTCTCAAAAGCCTCCCACCCAGCACTAAATGCTTGTGATTGCAAAATATTCTGAAACAAATAACAATATTGTGAAAGGGAGTGTATGTGACTCAGGGTGAGCATATATAAAGTATTTGCAGGATCTTGACATGCTTGGAATTTCAGGATTGTCCTTGAATGTTTGAAAAGACAATTGCTGTGATTGCATTGTCAAAGTCCAAGCAATAGAACTTTTCCTACATTGTGTGCTAAAGGTTGCTAAATCCACAAGCCAACATGACTTGTGACTGTGCTGGTTCAGGGATTCTGGGGACTGTCGGCCAAAAAGTAACATTCCCAGACTCTACCTATGGGCTGTAAAGCCCAACTGAGATTCCTGTTCATATTCAATGGATCCCCAGGGACTGGATAAGATTTCTGGCTTTGTTGTCTACCTGAGGGTGCCAAAGAAATCAAATACCATGGCCAAGATCCTGGTATCAAAAAGTATTAAGCTTTTTTTATATTCTTCCATTTCCCCTAGCCCAGTCATGCTCAAATAGGAAAATGCAGTCTGTCGCATTGCCTGGACTTCAAGTCATACACATTTCTGTAATTTATAATCAGAACACTAATTGCAGATTGGGAGTGATCCTGGATTCATCGCTGAGCCTGGAACCCCAGGTTTCGGCCGTGGCCAGGGGAGCTTTCGCACAGTTAAAACGTGTGTGCCAACTACACCCGTACCTTGGAAAGACTGATCTGTACCCAGGCATTGACTGTTTGCTATGTATATGTTGTGCTCCGCTCTGAGTCCCCTTCGGGGTGAGAAGGGCGGAATATAAGTGTTTTAAATAATAATAATAATAATCTGGCCACGGTTGTCCACACTCTGTTTACATCCCGAATAGACTACTGCAACACGCTCTACTTGGGGTTGCCTCTGAAGACTGTTCAGAAACTTCAGTTAGTCCAAAGGGTGGCAGCCAGGTTTCTTACTGGAGCAACATACAAGGAACATACCACCACCACCCCCCCCCCCCCCCCCCCCGGTTGTGTCAGCTCCACTGGCTGCCAGTCCATTTCTGAGCACAATTCAAAGTGCTGGTCTTGACCTATAAAGCTCTATATGTTTACCTGTCCAAACGCATCTCCCTCTACATCCCGCCTCGCAGTTTAAGATCACCTGGGAAGGCCCTGCTCTCAGTCCCACCAGCCTCACAAGTGCGCTTGGCGGGAACGAAGGATAGGGCCTTCTCGGCAGTGGCCTCACACCTATGGAAGTCGCTCCCCAGCGAGATCAGATCGGCGACTTTTCTCCTTTCTTTTAGGAAAAAGGTTAAATCATTATTCTGGGACCAGGCCTTTTGACAGCAAGCATGACAGCACTTTGGATCGGACTGGAATTGGCTATATGAAGTGTTGACAATGTTTCAATTGGATTTTATTTTGTTTTTTCCTTGATGTTTTATTCACTGTTTTAAATTGATGTTTATTTGTTATGGCGTATTATCTTGTGGCATCGAATTGTTGCCGGTATAAGCCACCCTGAGTCCTCCCTCGGGAGTTGAGAAAGGCGGGATAGAAATGTTCGAAATACATAAATAATAAATAAGTAAACAAACTTCATTGTGCCTATACTGGATTTGTTTGGATCACAAATTGTAACTGTTCGGCTTCAAATAACTGTATGCACTTGTTCTCCTTCCAGTTGTGACCTCGGTTGGCTTTGGAAAGACTTTCTGTAAGGGATGAGGCTGGTCATACTTGATAATTACGATCTGGCTAGCGAATGGGCTGCAAAGTATATCTGCAACCGCATCATCCAGTTCAAGCCAAATCAGAGCAGATATTTCACTCTTGGCTTACCAACAGGTAATGCTTCTTCTTCTCTATTGCAAGTATACCATTAGTTCTCACCTTTACGCACATGGCTTCATTCATTTGCTGAGTCTGGGCTTCTTCTTGTTCTGCTATCTGGTATAGTAATGTATAAGAAAGTATGAGGGGAACAGTTGAACACAGATGAGCACATAGAGCCCTTGAAATGCAATTCCAATTGGCCTTAGGCAGCATGTGGTGGGGATTATGGGAGCTACAGTCTGTCCTACAGCATCTAGAGAGCCACAAGTGCCAGTAACTGAATTACAAGCATATGCAACCCTGTGTCTGTAAACTGTTGAGCAAGACATATGTGTTGTTTTCAACTTCCAGGATCTAAATGTGGAGTTAGATACTTCCTCTATCCAGACCCCTAACTCCACAAAATAATCAAGTTCCTTTCCTTTTGTGGCTGACTCATTTCCTCAACTTCCTTGACAATGAAGAACTGCTCACAAAGACATTCAGTGAAATTCAGATGGTCAGAAACATCTTTAACAGGCACATCTCTGAACAGAAATGCTGCAGGTGCCTTAAATGTGAAATCTGTGTCTATTACTGCTCCTGCAGTAGGCAAATTGCTATCTTTGAATAGCAGAAAATAAACTTTTAGAATTTGACATAGGAAACTCATCACCAGTTTTTTTTTTGGTTTTTTTTTTTTTTGCAAATTAATCTACAGTATATATAACAAAAGTCTTGCTGATTTAGACTACAAGTCTATCTGATCCAGTATTCTAGTCTGATAGATGCCTACAAGACACCCACAAACAAGCAGTGAATGCAATAACACTCCCTCCAATTGAATTCTATAGTTATTGATATTCAAAAGCATGTTGTCTTCGGTGCTGGAGATAGTATGATGCTGCAAATTAATCTGATCCCCCTTCAGAGGTTCATGTTGGCAACCAGTGCTACATTTTGGAGAGGCAAACTCCATTGTTTAATTGTTTAGCTGTTTGAGAAAAATACTTCATTTTGTCTTTACTGACTATTTTGTCTCAGTGAAGGATTTTTTTTTATAAACAACGGCTTTAGAATACGACTTTAAGCCTTTTCAAGTATATGTTTCAAATTGTTCTCATTCTGTGAATTCAATCAACACCAATCTTTTTGCTATGTTACTTTTGTTTTAAATGGTAAGCTACAACACAAAGAACTCGAAAGTACATAATCACATTGAAAAAATAAAAGGAGACTCAGTTCTACATGGTGTGCGGGCATTTATACTTTTAAAAGCCAAACACATTTCACCCTTATCACAAATGCGACGCCTACAGAAGCTATTCAGTCTTTAGAAATGTTTGGAGTTACAGTATGTGTTCTCTATACAGCCCATTCCTTTCCTAATAATCTTCTGCATGGAACTAGCCTTTCACAAGTGTGCCATGGAGCAATGTTTTCATCAGTATGTTCCATTCCAAGTTCACTTTCCTTGGACAGTCACCACTAGATGACCGGTCACCAGCAAGCATCTATGCAGAATCATCCCCGTTTAGTTCTTCATTTTAAATGTTTTTATTTTTACATTCAGCAATTGGCACTTCAAAATCCCACACTGGGCATGCATATTCAGTAGCTGAGTAGCAAAGCACAAGGGCAGATGTCTTCACTGTGTCTGATTGTGATCCCCAGGTTGTGCCAGTCAGCTTCCATATGATATTATTTCTAGCTCCCACTTTTTGCTTGATAGTCAATCAGTGTTTGTTGTAAGTCAGAGCACGGTCCAGAGTGACTCCCAGGTATTTTGGTGTGCTGCTATGCTCCAGTGGGATTCCTTCCCAGGTAGTTCTCAGAGCTTGAGATGTTTGTCTGTTCTTAAGATTTTTTTTGTTGTGTCAGGAGCGACTTGAGGAACTGCAAGTCGCTTCTGGTGTGAGAGAATTGGCCGTCTGCAAGGACGTTGCCCAGGGGATGCCCAGATGATTTGATGTTTTTATCATCCTTGTGGGAGGCTTCTCTCATGTCCCCGCATGAGGAGCTGGAGCTGATAGAGGGAGCTCATCTGCCTCTCCCCAGATTCGAACCTGCGACCTGTCGGTTTTCAGTCCTGCCGGCACAGGGGTTTAACCCACTGCGCCACCGGGGGCTCCTGTTCTTAAGATGAAAACCACACATCTGCATTTTAGATGAATTAGAAATCAGCCAGTTTTCCCTGTAATAGGCAGTAAGAGCACCTAAAGCTTCAAAGAGCTTCTGTTCAACCATTTCAAAGCTCCCTGCTTGAGTGGTGATGGCATGATCGTCAGCATAGATGAAACTATCTGTCCCTTCTGGCAGTGGCTGATCATTTGTGTAAATGTTAAACATTGATGGAGATCGTTGGTGTTTTTAAATACATTATAACCGTACCCTCAATTCACTTCTGACACGATAATTATTTTTTTAAAAAAAACCATCAAACCGCACACTCTTCTTTTCTTTTGCATTCTTTTTACTAAGAAAAAGAGTTGGCTTTATAGCAAATCAAACACTGCTCGGCAGAAATCAGGCCTATGCTATAGATGTGATTAAGAGGGAGGGCATGTGTTAATTTTTAATGCATTTTCTTGATTTCTATACTGATACTATCAGTTTGAATGTTCCCTTTGCTTAGAAATAAATGGAGCAAAATAACCAATCTATCAATGGCTGCATTTGGATTTTACGCTTTTAATTATCGTGAAGATGTTCTTACTAGAGTAAATAATATTTTCTTTGCTTAATATAGGAAGTACACCTCTGGGATGCTATCAGAAACTAATAGAATATCACAAGAAGGGAGATCTTTCTTTCAAATATGTGAAAACATTCAACATGGATGAATACGTGGGTAAGCCCTACTAAACATGTTTACATTTAAACTACAATGAGTCCTTAATATCTGCTGAGGTTTGGTTCCTGGACCTCCTTGTGGGTACCAAAATCTGCGAGTGCTACAATCCCATTATGTGCAATTTTGTAGTAAAATGGTGTCCCTTATATTTTGGGGGATGAAAAAAATGTTTTGAAATATTTTCAAGATGTGTTTGGTTGAGTTTGTGGATAGAGAGGACCAGCTATACTGATAGCGATTCCAAGTGATCTCTGTGTAAAATAGAATATGAATGTGATGTATCGAAAATTATTTAGTATTAGTATTTTGTTACTGGAACTGATACTGTAAATTAGCTGTTGTGTGATCTTCATTTTCTCCTAGGGCTTCCCAGAAATCATCCAGAGAGCTATCATTCTTACATGTGGAACAATTTCTTTAAGCATATCGACATAGATCCAAACAATGCACATATACTTGATGGAAATGCTGCAGATCTAAAGGCAGAGTGTGATGCATTTGAGAAAAAAATAAAAGAAGCTGGGGGGATAGACTTGTTTGTTGGAGGTAAGTTTTTTACATGTTGATATATTTTTAAAAACCAATACATTTCATGTTTAGACCCACGCCTTTTTCTAAGATATCTCATATAAATAAAATATGTAGTGGTATTCAGAAATCTGAAATTCATAGAATCAAGGAGTTGAAAGAGACCTCATGGGCCATCCAGTCCTACCCCCTGCCAAGAAGCAGGAATATTGCATTCAAAGCACCCCCAACAGATGGCCATCCAGCCTCTGTTTAAAAACTTCCAAAGAAGGAGCCTCCACCACACTCCCTGTGGCTTCCTCTCACATATTTATACATGGCTATCGTATCTCCTCTCAGCCTTCTCTTCAGGCTAAACATGCCCAGCTCCTTAAGCCGCTCCTCATAGGGCTTGGTCTCCAGACCCTTCAAATAATTCAAATAAAATTCAAATAATTTTGTTCCCAAGAATTTCAAATAAGGGATGCTCAACCAGTATTAATAAATGGAGGGAAAGAGCTGAACTTTCTGTGAGTTATACAAATATCTGAAAGAAACAAAAGTGAGATTATTTTAATAGTGATTGTATCTGGTTGGCTTTGTTTATTCTCATATACTGGCGTGAATTTCCCTTCCTAGATGTAGATTTCTCTCACTACCTGTTGCTTCACAAACTATGAGTTGTTTGGTAGTCGGATGTTTGTAACTTGGGAACTGCTTGTACTCACAATTCTTATGAATCGTGGGCTAAATGTCGTGTTGATGCTAGCTAGCAAATAGACTTAATTGAAATAAATAATACTTATTTAAGCAGTGACTGCCAAGTTTCATTTAAACTGTTGTTGAGATTAATATTATATTCAGACTATTGCATCTGTAAAATCAGCTTCCCTTTTTTAATTGTATATTGGTGCTACACAATCACCTATAACAGCAATGACTGCCACTCATTTTTTAACATGCCTCTGGAATTCATCCACATTGTACCCCACTTTCCCCAATAATTTTTGAATAGGAGCCTAAATTCATATTTTGAAGGCTAATATGGGCAAGGCTTGCACACCAAAACAGAAGTGTCAAATCACATAGCACCAGTTTAAAAAGAATTGCACTGTCCGTCAATATGATTCCTGTGTGAATTCAGGGTGGTGACAATGACATTTAAAGCCCTTGCTTGAGAAGTCAATGGTTGAGCTCTTCCTCAATATCTCTGCTCATGTTTGACATCTGCTGGAGGAACCATCTTCTGTGTCCCTTCAGCCAATTGCTGTTGGAAGCCATGGGAGGTAGCTATTTTGGCTGTAGCGCCTCAATTATGAATCCTTTCCCCTTAAAGGCTCTCTTGATGCCTACATTATTGTCATTTTGGTGCCAAGCGGAAATGTTTGCATAACTGATTTAACACAAATCAGTGCATGAGCATAGTTTTAAAGTATTTTATTTGGTTTAATCTTTTCTTTAAACTTCTTAAATTGTTTAGTCTGCTTTTAGTATGTTTCTAAAAACTTTTTTTACCATTTACCGTAATTGCTGGTGCTTTATTATCCATCACAATAGATGGCAGGATATAAACATTTTAAGAAACAAAAGTGTTCAGTGATGTTACCTTATAAATGTCATAAAGTCTTATTGGTATCATTTTTCAGTTCTTCCTTTATAGCTTAGAATGTCAGCAGAGTTTTGTTGCATAAAAATTGTTTCTGAAACAAATACGTTGGCATTATTTTTTTGTGTTTTGTGCGCTCTTTCCAGGCATTGGTCCAGATGGTCACATAGCTTTCAATGAACCTGGGTCAAGTTTGGTATCAAGGACAAGATTGAAGACACTTGCCATGGACACCATTTTGGCAAACGCAAAATATTTTGATGGAGACTTAACTAAAGTTCCAACTATGGCATTAACGGTTGGTGTGGGGACAGTGATGGATGCCAGAGAAGTAAGAAGATCTGTTCATAGTTCCCTGATATTTTGATATTTCTTGAGACAAGCATTATGAAATGAAATATTTCAAGACTACTTTGTTATAAGAGTTGACAGTTCATGTACAACATGACGATGATGGAGTGAACTCATTTTGTCCAGTATAAATTGATACAGTGTAACAACAACAACAATGATACATTTTATTTATTAACTGCCTCTCCTGGTGGCTCAAAGCAGGGAACAACAAATTAATCAGTGCTTTAGTTGTTGTCCTTCCCACTTCATTTTTCCAAGAGGCTCTGTACACTAGGGAGTCTGATTAGTAACAGATCGGAAAGGACATTTGGGAGCAATTGTGTCAGAAGCCCTTGTTAGATTTTGATTCCACTTACTGATCCACAGAGTTTTAACAGGATTGTTAGTGATACCAGCCACAGAACACTCTAAGTGTTCCTGAAATCTCAAAGGATCCATTAGCCTTCGAGGACAGACCATTTTAGTAGGTTCTTCACCCCTACTGTGATACTAGCCCAGACCAGAAAGTGATCGGTCACCTCCGCCCACAGATCCATGTGTTCCGAGCTGAAAATTGCATCAAGGGTATGACCTGCCAAGTGCGTTGGTCTGGAAACCAATTGGGATAAGCCCATATTTGTCATGGATGGATACCATATGCTCCCAGATGACAGTATGGCCCCATATAAACAGGACTGTGCTTTCACCGACATGCATCCAATGAAATGTGTGCTTTCTACGAATTTTCTAGATCCTCCAGGTAACTCCAATTGAAGTCATTCATTTTGATAGGGTTCTCCATTATACATGGTTTACTGTTTCTGTGGTAAGTTTAGGAACATTTACTGTCAATATATCACAGGTTAAAATGAAACAGACCATTGTCCCCATATATTACTCACTTTTGAGACTGGAATGTGTGTGATCAATGTAAAATTAGTGTGTATTATTTCCCCATATATGGGAGGAGGGATACATCCACTGGCTTCCAGGTATCTTAGACTAATTCCCAGAACCCCCAACTAGCATCTGGAGAATAAAAGTTTATCCCTGCCATGTTGACAAATATCCAGTCACTTTGAGAAATGTTGTTAATAAAGTTAGGTATTGATAAGGTAGTAACTCGTGGTCCACTTTGTTCTTCTTAGCATCTCTACAATCAGCTGTCCATAGTCAAAAAGCCATCAGGTCTCTCCTTGTTGACAAAAGGACTGATGAGGTGATTGTCCCTTTTACTCATTAATAGAGTATGAGCAAGAACTAAAGTAGTGGGAGAGACAGTTTGCTTCAGAAGAGTTCAGAGTCAGCTTATTCTTCAAAACTTCACATTCTGCTGGTTCCAGAAGTTTGGACAGTGTGTTGTTTTTTGTTGAACACAATCCAAGGATTTGTCTTTAAGGACAAAAGATTTGTTCCACTATTAGAATGTAGCTATTGCCTGGTGTATTTTGTGAGTGCACTTCTGTCAAAATGTAATATTCTCTATAACTGTCTGAAGCAAGTAGGGTTTTGATGGTTGCCTTCAGATTGTTTCTGACTTAGGGCAACCCTGGGGCAATTCTGTCATTAGTTTTTTCTTGCCAGTGGGTTTGCCTTTGCCTTCCTCTGGGACTGAGAGTGAGTGACTTGCCCAAAATTATCCAATGGGTTTCCATGGCCAAGTGGGGATTACGACTCTGGTCCTCAAAGTCCAATACTTAAACCACTATGTCAGTTTTTCTAGTAGACTTCACAGGTATCTTTCTATAATATTATAAAGCACAATAGGAAATCCATGAAATTATTATAGCAATTGGCATACATGTACTCATACCTATTTCCAGAAGTGCTAGTTTTGGATAACTTGCATAATCATATCTATTTTGCAGGTGATGATTCTGATCACTGGTGCACACAAAGCTTTTGCCTTGTACAAGGCAATTGAAGAAGGGGTCAATCACATGTGGACAGTTTCTGCTTTTCAACAACACCCACACACTATCTTTGTATGTGATGAAGATGCTACCTTAGAACTACGAGTTAAAACTGTCAAGTACTTTAAAGGTGAGCATTATCCCTTGAGATACAATCAATCATGAACATCTTGTACACAAGGGTGGGCAATCCGTAGTACTCTAGATATTGTAGGATTTCAGTAGCCATCTTCCCTAGATAGCATATCTCATTTTGAGGGATATTAGGAGTTGTTGTGTGCCTTCACGTCATTTACAACTTCTAAGGCAAATCTATCACAGATGTTTTGGGGACAGTGTGTGTGATTCACCCAAGGGCACCAAATGGGTTTCCATGGCAATGTAGGGAATTGAATCCTGACTTAAAGAGTCATCATCCAGCACACAAACCACTACACCATTCTGGATCTATTAGGAGTTGTCCTCCAACAATAGCTGAAGACTCATTTTTGCCCACCTGGATGAAAAGTTTAGCAAGATACCTCCTCTGTGGTATGTAAAGGAAGTGCTTGACACACACACACATAATGTCCTGGTCATAAAATAAAAAGATGCACGTTATAAATGTTATATTAGACTGTAATTTATTCAATTTTATAACATGCCTCACCAAATATGACTTGGTAAGTGTTTAAAAATCTTGGCCTTGCTATTGTCTTCAGCTTTTAAATCATACTAAAAAGTGTAGAAGCTTTCACCACTGCCATAGGCATCCTTTGTTTCTCCCCATTGTTTTCAGACCCTCCAAAAATTATCAAATTTGGCCCCACAGACCCCTCTCCCCAGCACCAACTGTCGGTCTGGGCCAGAGTGAAGAGAGAGGGGGCCAGGGGACAGTTCCACCTTGGTATCCTGTGCTATTCTAATAATATAATAATATAATATAATATATATACATATAATATTTATAATATTATAATGTAATGCAATATAATATGATATTATAATTATATATTTATATTGCATGTAATATTACTAATAATAATACGATATAGTGGTATGGTGCATTATAGCAATGTTTAATGCTGATATTGTACTATGCTAATAATATATATTTTATGTAATATATACCTTGCAAGCCGCTTGAGTCCCCTTTGGGGTGAGAAGGGCAGCATATACATGTAGTAAATAAATAAATAAAATACAGATTGTCATTTGAAGAACATAGTAGTGAGTTAAAATTGTTGTCTCTACTCAAATTGCAGTCTGTTTTCTGATCTATATATGCATACAACTGAAATGCCTTGAAGCTGAGACCCAAGTTTAAACCTGAAAGTAATTTATGCTTATAGGCATCTAAAATGCATAGCTTGGAGGTAATTTAGTAAATAGTTTTAATAATTTTGAGCATGAAAAAGTTTGTGTACATTAAACTATCAGAAAGCAAAGGTGTTGTTATCTCAGCCCTCAGAAGTTTTGGATCTCAGAATTCCAGATAAAGGATGCTCAACTTGTCCATGTCTGGCATCTCCAAATCCTTTTCTCTAATTAGGGCCAACTTTTTTTCTACCTATACTTCAACACTTTTAGGAGTGCAACATTGTCAATGCTATAAAAGATTTCTTCTTGTCTTAACTTAAAAGATTACTTTCTGATAAAGTATAGAAATTCTACTTTAGAGAGAGTGAAGAAGTCATTGTTTACCTTCTCTTGCTTACAAGATGGCTGAGATAATAAAGCCAAATGAATATGTATTGCATTAGCTCAAGTGAAAGTACAGCCTGTTTTCCATTAGCCTCTAATCGAATCCAATAAATAAAATTTGAGTGTAATATAATAAGAAAGGTTGAATTATTTACATATTGGGTTTCTAACACTGCTGCTTCATTTTTTCAAGGTCTAATGCATGTGCACAACAAACTTGTGGACCCTCTGCACAGTATGAAAGAACAAAACTGAAGGACACAGCCATGCTGGACTCCCATTTTTGGCCCGGCAGTGTTACTAGGTGGCAGAAGCACTGCTATGCAATATGCTGAAAACTGGCTAAAGTGAAGAACCTTAAGTACTGTGGAGGGTTTTCTCTTTCCCCCAAAGGTCCAAATGTGCACACATTCCTCCTCGCACTATTATAAGCTCTCCTTTTCTGCTTTCCTACCTAGATCTCTTTTGCCTGTTACATGCTATATGCTGCTGGAAACCAGTGGAACATTTTGAACTTGAAGAGCGCAGGTGTAAACAAGCTGGCCACAGATGTAACTCAAATATAGAAATATATCTTTTCATTTTGTCTCAAGGACTTTTTTGGGGCTTGGCCTGTGTAAAATAACTGATGAACTGAAAAAGGGGCATTTTATCATGAATGTTTACACCCAGACAACTGTTACACCTGAAATATCTTCAGTTAACTGGCTTAAAATCCACACCTTTGTCTTTGTGAGGTATAATACCACAATACCATTGCAAATTAGTTTGAAGACAGTGCTAATCTTATAAGTGATTGCTTCAGGTTTTTTGTAAGCTTCTAATGGGGGTAGCTATGCTAGAGTTTTACATACTAACAAAAGGAATTCTCTGGTATCTTTTTAATCTTTGCAGATGTCTCTCTCTGTGTGTGTATCACATCAGTCCTATCACATCACTGTAGGACAATGAATTTTTTAAAAAAAATATTTGTCATGGGGGGAGATAATTCTACATATCTTGAATGCTTCTGCAACAATTAAGTGTCATATTTCTGAACTGATTTCAGAAAAGTTATATATAAGTCTTATATATAAGTCTATATATAAGTCTAAAATGCGAGTCAAAAAATCAGTCCGAAAAGCCTAGATGGACTTATCCATGGATCAGTGTAGGTAATGTACCTTTCCTCTTACCCGAAAAAGAACCATTTCTGAGTAAAGTGTCTTTTAATTGTTGTGGCATTGAACAATTAAAGAGAGATTTCTGCCCAAGACCATGGGAAAGGTCTCGAAAAACAAGGAAAAGCTAGAATTGGCGCCAATCCTCTTCTAAAAGACAATAATTAAATTAGATTATTCTGGTATAGTTAACCATTCAGTTCTCTTTTAGTCTTGGACCACATGTAGCCTTAATAGGATTTTTATCTAACAGGAAATAAAGGCTGCCCTACACATGTATGTATACATTATTCTTGAGCAAGAGCCACAGCCAAACACATTTCTTACATCCTTTTAATTCCATGCACTGGTCCTTTCAGGTCAGGATTTTCAGGCAGGGATGACTTGTGGGCTAAGCACTTATGGATGCTACCCAAGGGCAGAGCTGCTTAATTCTGCCTGACCATCTTAATGGAGACACATTGGAGGATCAAATGTAGATCATGTTGATGCAAATTTACTGTTTATATCAAAGGTGGGCAACATGTAGCCCTCTGGATGGTATTTCTCACCATCTCTCATCAGTATTCATTCAGGTGAGGGCTCCCTAGAGTTCCTATTCAATCTCAAGGCTGCAAATTTCCTAATTTTATGTTACACTATGTTAAAATTATTAATTAATAATTGGTTAACACAGCTTGTGGAAAGGCGGACACTAATGTAAAATTTACAACCCTCCATATACATGGATCCTGTGCCCCAACATGAAAATCACCAGCCCCCCCAAAAATTAAAAAGCAAATCTTAATTATGCCATCTTATTTAAGGCACACCAGTATATATACCAGGACTTCACATGGTATCCATGTGGGACGTGAGAACCCAAGCCTAACTGATACCAAGGGCCCACTGCACACACCAAATAAGCAAGTTCACATTAAAAACTCATTTATTCTTTACACATGATCGTTTAATTAGCATGTCCAAAAGGTCACACGGTGATCTCAGGATTATTTCAACCATCAGCCAAAATGTTTAAGTCAATTGCTTACAAATCCAGTTATTTATTTTAAAAAGTCTTACAGTAATTGTCAACATAGTATAGTCTATTTAAATTTATGATCATTCACAGAACTGTATGTACACACAGAAAATACATTCAAGGAATCATATTTTGTCAGTGCTGGTCAGTTATTGACAATGAAATTTAAAAAACCTTCAAAGCAGTCTGTAGAATTCAAGCTACTTGTCAGGCTGTCTCTTCAGAACACTGATGAATGCATCCTTTGGCACTTCTATATTCCCAATTTTCCTCAGCTTCTTCTTTCCTTCTGCTTGCCTCTTCAAAAGTTTCATTTTCCTTGAAATATCTCCTCCGTACTGTTTTGCCCAAAAAGTCATGTTAGTTTTCTCAGATTATATAGTAATTATGCACACAGTACTGACTACTATTTTGAAAGTCTCTCAGACAATGAAAAGATGTATGAAAAATCCAAAACGTGCTATTAATTGCTCTAGATAAATTTAAAATTGTTATGCTAAACCCAGACCACAATGTTGAGAGTAGCAACACCTCTCTATCTGAGGAATGTCAACTTTAAGCAAGTTTCATGTTACTAATCTTACATATATTAAGAAAAAATCAAATTGCATTCAAAATGTAGGGGCATGGAAATAGATTCCTCGCCAGAACTAACCCCATTAAAAACAAATACAAATTATACAAACTCTAGAATCAAAATACTGAAGGAAAAGAAAAGAGATCACAGGGCCTGGGTGGGTGCAAATTGATACTTACACATTTTGCCAAGACATTTTTTCTGTAAGCTTTCACCCTGGAATAGAAACATTATGTGTAAACCAAACTGCATTTTTAAGAGGGTGTGATGCAAAAAGGTTCCACATTGGATCACAAAATCTGAATAAATAGCATGTGAAGTGAGAAGATATCAAAAAGAAAAAATAAATGTATATTAAGATCAATAACGAATTACCAGTCTCCCACTAGAGTGGACCTATGGAATCAGTAGCATTCATATAAGAGTTGACACACTATTCAGTGGATTCTGTGACTAGCAACTGGATTTGGGCCCAAGGTATAAGGCAATTTTTTACTTGGGGGATAGGTATAGAAAACATCTCTTGGGCGTTTGGCAAGGAAAAGACTGACATACAAATGGGGCTATTCAATATAATCAGACCTTTGACCATAGGATTCCTGCCTGAAGCAGTTAGCCAAAGATGTCAACTTATTCCTGGATAACTACAATTGCTACTTTGTATCTGCTGAGGTTTAGTTCCAGGATCCCTCAGGGATACCAAAATCCCATTCTATAAAATATGGTAGCAAAATGTTTCCCCTTATATAAAATGGCAAAATCAAGTTTTGATTTTTGGAATATCTATTTTCAAGTCATGGGTAGTTGAATTCATGAATGCAAAATCTATGGATATGGAGGGCTGACTGCCTTGCAAACAGAATTATTACCTTCTGCGATCTATTTTCTAGTTTATTTTAAACACACAGATAAGTTGCTGGGGATCTACAAAATTTTGTACCTGCTATGAAATAATGTGTTCAAGTCCATTCCAACACCACTCTTAACTGCAAAGAAATGCTAAAGAGCAATATGATTATTCTTTTTTTCAAACTATAATGTCTTCAAGTGAGAATGGGAATTTTTTTCCAGCCTGAACTGTACTGCCTTTAAGATTGCCTTTCAAGTTTGATTTCAAGTGACTCAGAATGTAACACTGCACTTGCTAACTAGACATGTGTGTCACAGAGTCATGTTGAGAAAGTTTCTATATCCACTGCTTGATATCCAGGCTAAATTTAAGATGCTGCTTCCTTGGCCTGAGGGATTTTCATTAACATCTGCAGTGTAAACTTCTCAATATATTGAGACTAGTTTGGAGCAAGGACATATTAGACAATGTTGTAAGGCCACCTCAAACATATACCAGCACCAAAGAACTTGCATAGTCAGAAAAGCCTTCATTTCAAAAGGAGGAAAGCCTGTAAGACATTATCATGAGGGTAGGGGATCACATGGAGCCTATGTAGTTTGCCATGGACTACAGCCACTTCAATAGTGAATTTTAATCTCTGAAATTCTCTGGAAGTGGACAGAAAAAAGTGGACAGAAAAATGGAACCACTATGTTTAGCTGTAATCTTTTTAAAACATCTGGGTTTTTATTTCAGTGTTGGGTGAGTGGAAAAAAATACAATTTATAGAGGAGAGAGACAAAGCTACTAAATTTGTGTCCAGTGGTACCCACAAGCACAGGCCTATTAGTACAACTCTCTTTTAACAGAGTCAAGACAGGTAAACTCACGTTTCTCTTGCAATTATTTTGCTTCCAATCGCTGCCTGAATAGCTATTTCAAACAGTTGTCTTGGGATAACATCTCTTAAACGTTCACACATAGATTTAGCAACTGGATATGCTTTATCTCTGAAAAAGAAAGAGAAAATAGTTCACCTTAATATAAAGCCTACATTCTTAATAGCCTGTTTTAAAATATGCTGCTTTTGACAGTTTCACATAATGATGCCTGGATTAATGCAGTGAACTCACTGAGAGAAAGAATTCTAACTGTACTGAGGAATGGCCTGCACACTATAATTAAGATTCCAAAGAACAGTATTTAGAATACAACCCAGAGCTGAAAATAATTTCAACAGTAAACCTGGTTACTTTCTGTAGTTTACCATTTCATTTATATCAATTCCTGATTTGAACTTCCAAGTGTTTAACATATTGTTCATTATGTTTTAATTTTTAAAGACTGATGATTTTATGTCAAATCAGCAGATAGTTATATGAAGGGTTTCATCTTATTAGTCTTTATAGTTTGTCCTGATAATTTGCTATAATAGCCATGTTTAACACTGTTGACATATCTTCAGTTTGTTGTTCATTTGTTCAGTCGCTTCCGACTCTTTGTGACCTCATGGACCATCCCAAGCCAGACCTCCCTGTCAGCCGTGGTCACGCCCAGCTCCTTCAAGGTCAAGTCAGACACTTCAAGGAAAACATTCATGCATCGTGCCCTTTGTTGCCCCCTCTTCCTTTTTATTTCCATTTTCCCCAGCATCATTGTTTTCTCCAAGCTTTCCTACCTTATTGTTATGTGGCCAAAGTTCTTCCATCTTTGCCTCTAATATCCTTCCCTCCAGTGAGCAGTTAGGCATTATTTTCTGGAGTATGGATTGGTTTGATCTTCTCGCGGTCCAAAGCACTCTCAGAATTTTCCTCCCAACACCACAGTTCAAAAGCTGTGGTGCTCAGCCTTCCTTATGGTCCAGCTCTTGCATCCATAGATTACTACAGGGAATACCACTGCTTTAACTATGTGGATTTTCGTTGCCAGTGTGATATCTTTACTCTTCACTATTGTAATGAGATTGATCATTGCCCTCCTCCCAAGAAGTA